TCCGTTCCTGTGCGTTCCTGCCCAAAAATAGCCCTGACCAGAATTCTTCATCACGTGCCAGTGGATTCGAATCCACTGCTACAGATGAGCAGTGACTGAATCAGCACAGTTCTAAGCAGAATTACACACTTCTCAGTCCGCTGACTTCAATGGACTTAGAAGGTAGTAACTCCTCTTAGGATGGCGCTGATAATCCTTGCTGTAAATGAGTTGTATCGTGCTAGCTTTTCTAGTCTTTCACTCTCTGTTCCAATTCCCCTCTTCACCGTCGTCACCATCCCGCAAGACTTTCGTCTCCATGGGTCCCATGATAGCCAGTATAGCCTTTTTGGTAGTCAGCCCCGCCCCCCTCCAACTTTGGCAGTACATGAAAAGAACATAAGAGAAGCCACGTTGGATCAGGCCAATGGCCCATCCAGTCCAATGCTCTGTGTCACACGGTGGCCAAAATCCAGGTGCCAAAAACCAGTACAAAAGAAGAAGAAGAAGAAGAGATTGGATTTATACCCTGCCCTTCACTTGGAGTCTCAGAGCGGCTTACAAACTCCTTTCCCTTCCCCTCCCCACAACAGACACCCTGTGAGGTCGGTGGGGCTGAGAGAGCTCTGACAGAAACTGCTCTTTTTCAAGGACAGCTGTGCCAGAACTTGTGACTGGCCCAAGGTCACATCACCAGGTGCAAGTGGAGGAGTGGGGAATCAAACCCGGTTCTTCCAGATTAGAGTCCACACACTTAACCACTACACCAAACTGGCAACCAAGCAGGTAGGATGCTGTCTAGATAGGGTGAGCTGATACAAACTCCTGTCCAAGCTGGTAAAAAAAAATTGATTGGATCACTTGTTGTTTCTATCTGTATTATTTTATATGTTCATCTTGTATGATCTGCACCGCACATTCTACACTCCGGAATATATGTATATATTCTTCTATAATATTTTACATTCTGGTAGAATATTCTTTGGCAATATACTAAAGGGGAGGATAGCATTTTTACCTGACGCCAATCATATTACTAGACGCGAGAAGAAAGGAAAAAGAAAACAAGAGAAAATGGAAGCGGGGTTTTGTGTGTGTGTGTGTGTGTGTGTGTTTGTAGTAGTAATAGTAGTAAGAAGAAGAAGAGATTGGATTTATACCCCGCCCTTCACTACCCAAAGGTGTCTCAGAGCGGCTTACAAACTCCTTCCCCTTCCCCTCCCCACAACAGACACCCTGTGAGGTAGGTGGGGCTGAGAGAGCTCTTGATGGGAACTGCTCTTTTTCAACGACAGCTCTTATCAGAACTATGGCTTGCCCAAGGTCGTCCAGCCAGGTGCAAGTGGAGGAGTGGGGAATCAAACCCGGTTCTCCCAGATTAGAGTCCGCACACTTAACCACGACACCAAACCGCGCACCAAGTAATCAAGTTGCAGCCCACTTATGACCAACCCTGTAGGGTTTTTCAAGGCAAGAGACGAACAGAGGTGGTTTGCCGTTCCCTACTTCCGTGTCACAATCCTGCCTTGGTGGTCGCCCATCCAAGGACGAACCAGGGCCAACCCTGCTTAGCTTCCCAGATCTCACAAGCTCAGCCTTGTAATAACTGTGTGCCGACGAGTCACAATCTACTCATGTCAACCCCAGAACCATGGAGTTTTCAAGACAAGGGAAGAGATCGGGCATGTTGCCATGGCCTTCCTCTGCACAGCAACCCTGGACTTCCTTTGGTGGTCTCCCACCCAAGTACTAACCAGGGCTGACCCTGCTTAGCTTCCGAGATCCGACAAGATTGGGCTAGCCTGGGCTATTCACGCTACCATGACAGGCTGCAGCTCCGCCCCAGCTGAATAAGAGCAACATGTCATTCCACCAGTGTTGGGCTGTGTTGACAGGGATTTAAACAGCAGACTTTCTACCAGCATTCGTTTACACCATATTGTGCAGATAGACTTGAGCAGCTGCCGGTCCAGCAATACAAACCAAGAGAATGTGGGAATATGGAACAAAACAGTACTGCTTTTTCAAATATAACTCATGCTCGTGCCTGGCGCAGATCAGGTGCAGTCAGGAACTGGCAAACCGACAAAATAATGTTATTTGTCTTGAGATCAACAGTAGCACAAATCTGGGGGCCGGGCCGTAAGGGGAGTGCATGGTGCGGACACAGATTTCATCACGTGACAAGTGTTCCTCCCTTCTAGTTCTCACCCACTGCCATAAAACTCAAAAGCTGGACACAAAGAGACGTTCCATGGGGAAAGTCATTCTTACAAGGGGGCATGCCAAGGTGGTACTATTCTCCTTTAGAACTTAATAAGAGCTCTCCTGACAACTCTTCACCAGTGTTCCCTCTAAGCTGAGTTAGTGTGAGCCAGCTCACAGTTTTTTAGCCTCTGGCTCACACATTTTTGTCTTCACTCAGGAAGGATGGCTCCAGAGCAAACTCGTTTATGCAGCAGCCAAATCGCTCGCTCACAACTTTAATGCCAGTTGCTCACAAAGTAGAATCTTTGCTCACAAGACTCCACAGCTTAGAGGGAACATTGCTCTTCACTATGTTGGAAAGGCTGTGGGAGTGTTGGTAATTATAGCCATTGTGGGTGGGACTGTGCCCTCTTACGGGGGTTTTTGGTGGCAAGTCCGCAACTATACTTGCAAGATAATCCCGGTCACACGGCCGGAAAATGCGGGGGGTGGGAAGCGTGGCTGTTTGCCCCGGAGCAAAGTAACGCGTGGCAGCCCGATCACATGTCCCGTGGAGGTCCCGTGGGTATACCATTAGGTGCCGATCACACGGCTGTCCTGCAAAGAAGCAGTGCAGCGCAATCACACTGACAATTGCTAGGTGCTGCTTCCGTGGCAAACGGGAATTTTTTCCCCTCACCACAGTGTGTGCATGTGCCAGTGGGCGTTTGTGCACATCCTGTGGAGATGCCCGCCCTTGTCCCACATTTTCCGGAAACTAGCACATCGTATGTACTAGTTTTTTACTCCGTATCTTCAGCAAGAAGCCATGGGTTAGCCACGGGTGCACTACGCTTCCCAGATGTTGCAGTGTGATTGCGGCCAGAAAATCTGCCTATCATCTGTATCTTTAGCGCAGCAAATGCTCCGTGTGAACGGGGCCTAAGGAAAGCATCCCTTTCAGAGCTGACTTCCTACTACTAGACTTGTGGATTGGTTGTAAAATTCCATGTCATCACAAATGGTTAATAACTAAGCTTTGAGCGGCAGCAAAAGCTGAAATTGCCTGCAAAGGAAAAAACGCAATGCCACCAACTATTCCAGAATGGCTAGGAAATGTCAAAGCGTATTGTATCCTAGACAAAATTTCTGAGAAATATTCAAAGCCAAGTGATCACCAATTTTGTCTCAACCTGGTTTCCGGTAATTACCTATTTTTCACATACTAACCTTTTCTCATATCTGCCTTCTCTAATAGATCCTCAACTATGGATGGACTCCATTCATGTGGCTTGTTCTTCTCTGTGGCTTTTTACTGATAAATTACATCCACTGTTGTAAATACTTTTAATCCTTAGTTATGGACGTAGCCAATGCTCCCTTTTAAGCTGTGGAGTCTTGTGAGCAAAAATTTTACTTTATGAGCTACCGGAATTAAAATTGTGAGCAAGCGATCTGGCTACCGCATAAATTAGTTTGCTCTGGAGCCATCCTTTCTGAGCTAAGACAAAAATGTGTGAGGCAGAAGCTAAAAAACTGTGAGCTAGCTCACACTAACTCAGCTTAGAGGGAACACTGGATTTAGCTCTATTACATGTATTTTAAAGTATTTTAAAGTACATATAGACTTATTGTCTCCAATATTAGTTTAGCACGGTTTTCTATGTTAAGTTTCTGAAAAGTATGCAGACGGAGAGTGATTTCAGCTAAGCATACCTTTATTTAGTTCAGGACAAAGACGAAGGGACCAGCTCGCAGGCTGGTTATATAGGTTCAGAAAACCCGCCACCAAGTACACCTAAACACACCCCCTACTCCCGAGAGGCTATTTACAGTAACCGGGCAACCATTGGTCTCCCGGCTGAGAAGCTGGCCCTTTGATTGGGCCGGCTAGGATCCTATGGACCCATTGTCTTTGGACATGAAGCTATTGAAGAGTTGTGCCTGGCCAGCCCGGGCAAGTCCGGGCATGTCAGGCTGCATACATTACAGTTTCGTATACAATCTATCTTATGCTACTCTTGTAATGGCATTCTTGCCTGATTATGATACTGAAGAAAATGCAAATCATGGCCTAAATGCTGTCAAGATGCCAGGCAAGAATATATTTTTTTTCCAATTTACTTCATTACGCCAGCTTTCTCCCCAAGGGAGACCCCAGTGGCTTACATCACAACAAGGTCAATTTTTTTTTAACTCTTTTTTTTTCCTGCAGTTTTTAGTGAGTTTCCAGTGCATGCCCTTGGCACATTTCCACTAGGGTTGGCAATCAATGAAACAATTATTAGTTGATTAATCATCTTCTAGGTAACAGATTGTATATTTGATTTGAATTTAGGTAAATATCAATATTCCCAAAACCTTCAACGATGGGTGACTTTCTGAGGCTCTGGACATAGGAAGACTTACCATTTAATGGGCAGAAGCTACAATTCACTGGTAGAAAGAAAGGTCAAAGTATAAAAACAGTGCAATAAACTACCCCTGGAGTAACTCTGCATTGGACTGGACTGTTCACTTCTTAGGGTCGTCTCGTGCATTACACAGGAGGAAGTCCAGGTTTTCCACCAAGGAAGGCTTGTAAGCAGGCACTCGCCTGCTCCTCCGTGGAGAGGGAAACACAGCTTCACAGTGGTGCTTGGGAGGGCCAACAGTGGGAGGGCTTCTAATGTGGTGGCCCCACTGGTGGACCTCCTGATGGCACCTGGTATTTCTGGCCACTGTGTGATACAGAGTGTTGGACTGGATGGGCCTTTGGCCTGATCCAACATTGGCTTCTTCTCTTATGTTCTTATGTCCTTTAAACACTGTATTTTGGATCCCCCATCCTTTACCTTGGTACATCTCAGCAGAAATCGGGCAGCTGATTCCCAAGGCATCCTCAGTGGCGAACGTCTCACAAAAGTCCTGCAGCATTGCTGTCCCGAGTCCACGTCTTCTAAACTTTGTCCGGACAAACACCGTGTCCAATACAGGGAGCTGGTAGCACTGGCTGCTGTGTTCATCACAGAGGCTTCCTAGAAGAAGAAAACAATAGTGGGGTGTATGTCAGCGAGCTGCCATCTTCTTGGGACAAGCCTCGTCCCTTTTCTCACCCCCTCCCCCCTTCACTCATGTAGTTGTTATCCTTCTCATGTTGTGCTTCTGTAACTGCCAAGGTTCTCCAGCTGGTGCGAGGTGGTGTTGTGTCTTTATGCTCTGGCTTGTTTAGATTTCCTGTGTGAACTCAACAAGTGTTTATGGAACGGGCCGTTGCTGTTCTCAGGCCGCTTTGCGCCTTTCCTAATCTGTAACCGTACGAGGGAAATGAGCTCATTGGTTTAAACCTTGTTTGAAGTTGCTTTAATACACCTTCCCCTGACTCTTGTAGTTATTCCAAACATTCTCTGTATGTTCATGATCAACCAAGCTTTGGAAATAAATCTTACTTCTTTTGAACGTGGGTCTATTCTCCTGATTTGGGATCTAACAGTGTAGTGGTTAGGCTGTGATCTGAGAGACCACGGTTTGAATCCCCATTTTGCCATGGAAGATCGCCCGGTGATCTCAAGCCAGTCTCTCCCTCAGCCTAACCTACCTCACAGGGCTGTTGTAAGGATACAATGGAGGAGAGGAGAACAGTGTAAGCCGTCTTGGGTCCCCTCTGGGGAGGAAGGTGGGGTAGAAATACAGTAGATAAATAATCAATAATTGCCAGTAATTTTTATGGAATTCTACACTAGGCTAATTTCTGACAGTGTTGGATTACTGTGTACAGTTCTGGTCACCGTACCTCAAAAAAGGTATTATAGCATTGGAGAAAGTACAGAAAAGGGCATCTAAAATGATTAAGGGGATGGAACACTTTCCCTATGAAGAAAGGTTGAAGCGCTTTTGGGAATATTTATGGAAGAGTGCCTTGAAAATATCGACATGAAATAATTTAAAAGAGAACTGTTATAAAATGATGTATAGATGGTATATGACTCCAAAAAAGATTGCAAATATGAATACAAATATGTCGAGTAAATGTTGGAAATGTAAAAAAGTAGAAGGCTCGCTTTACCATATGTGGTGGACATGTGAAAAAGCTAAGAGGTTTTGGGTTGAGATTCATGCAGAGATGGAAAAAATAGTTAACTGCACATTTAAAAAGGAACCAGAAATATTACTTTTGGGACTTAAAATGGAGGAGGTCAATGTGGCGAAAAGGACGCTTATGTGGTATATGATTGTGACTGCCAGAATGACATATGCACAAAGTTGGAAACAGGAGGAAGTTCCTGGAATTGGAGAATGGATTAAAAAACTACTTTTTATGGTTGAAATAGATAAGATGACAAGGAAACTGAATAATATGGCAGCAGCAGACTTTTTTGAAGATTGGAAAGACTTAAAAGAATATCTGGAAAAATACTGGGATGTGAGAGACGATTTATTTTGCTTTGATAACTATTGAGTATAGAGAATTGTGAAAAAATAAGTTACCTGTAGAATATGTAAAAGATAAAGAGGAGTACTTAAGAGTAACCTAAAGATTATGCAGGAGGTTGTAGCACTGTGGGAAGCCATATATAGGGGGGGAAAGGGAGGAGGGTAGGATATAAAGGGATAAGAACTGTAATACAAATGTTGAACTTTGTTGAATATATCCTAAAAATAAAATGTTTACAAAAAAAAAAAAAAAGGTTGAAGCACTTGGGGCTCTTTAGCTTGGAGAAACGACGACTGAGGGGTGACATGATCGAGGTTTACAAGATCATGCCTGGGATAGAGCAGGTCGAGAAAGAAGCACTTTTCTCCCTTTCTCACAATAAGAGAACTCGTGGGCACTCCATGAAATTAACAAGCAGTAGGTTCAGAACAGATCAAAGGAAGGACTTCTTCCCCTAAAGGGGAATTAACACGTGGAATTCACTGGCACAGGAAGTGGTGGCAGCTACGAACATAGCTTCAAAAATGGATTGGATAAACATATGGAGCAGAGGTCCATGAGTGGCTATGAGCCACAAGGTACAAACAGAACACTGTCTGGCGCAGTGATGCTCTGTATTCTTGCGCTTGGGGGGGGGGCAACAGTGGGAGGGCTTCTGGCCCCCCTGGTGAACTTCCTGATGGCACCTGTTTTGTTTTTTTTAACTAATTTTTATTTTATTATTAATCAGACAAGAAATCAATAGCTCACTTATAACAAGATAACAACAAGCAAAGCAGCAGTAACAACAACAATAACAAAACAATAAGTATTTAAACAAGTTTTCATACTATAACCCACTTATTAGGATGATTAATACTGGATCAAACAAGGCAACATCCAACCTAATAAAATCCAAAGTTCATGTATTTCTCAGGTAACTTATACAAGTCTTTTCGGTTTGAGGAAACATACCCGAAAAAGGGAAACCATTTTTCAAGGAAGTCATTACTCTTTGTAGGCATTTCAGTTATAATCAACTGAGTCGCAATTCTGGTGCACCTGGTTTTTGGCCACTGTGTGACACAGATTGTTGGACTGGATGGGCCATTGTCCTGATCCAACATGGCTTCTCTTACATTCTTATGTTGGTTTTGGAACTCGCTATGTGGACCTGTAGGCACATTGGCTGTTGCGACTCAGCCAACTTTTCAGGGCCGTTGCCAGAATAAATGAGCTACCATTTCATTCACTGAAACACGTTGCGGAAATAATTAAATGAGCACGACCTGCTGCCAATACAGTCGTGAGAACAAGCCGTTTTGTTCACCATCAACAGTGTAAGGCAAGCAGCTGGAATTCAGGGGAAAGTATCCAACCGTGCATTGCTCGGTGGACAGTGAGAGAGAGAGAGAGAGAGAGAGAGAGA